GTTACATGAGTAGTGGGCGGGGTTACCTGAGTAGTGGGCGGGGTTACCTGAGTAGTGGGCGGGGTTACCCGAGTGGGGGCAACATCCATAATTGAGTCCAGATCACTCGATGGGCAGAGTGGTTGATTGGGCGTAGATTATAAATGTGTCATTAAATCCACCACCACCCGACACAGTAGATTAGTAAGGTTTGTCACGTAAACAAAACATGACGAGGCTGGTTGTAATTACCGGCGAAACGTCGTACTCGAATTGTAAATGTTGTGGGTTTGCTCTCCAACACACCGGTGTGCTGAACTAGTAACTAATTGGCATTTGTTTCGTACGTGACAACCCTTACTAATTGGCTGTGTCGGGTAGTGACGGGTTTAACGACGCGTTTACATCCAGGCGATCTAACCCGCCCCCAAAAAACCACCTAGATTATGGATAATAATGGTCGCGAAAGCCCCATCCTACTGACTGCGCGTGGAACTGAGTGGGTGTGTTCATGTCAAGGCGGAGGGAGGAGACCGCGTTGAGTTCTGCTTGAGCCTCGCAGACTTTTTATACTTTTAGTTTTTCACATTTAAAGCGGGACCGTGAATGCGGGGGGGGGGGGAGTCTCACAGGGGGGGGGGGGGCATGTGGAGAGGTCACGACAAAACAGCGTTGAGCGCGACTGCCCGATGATCGCCATTCGCTCATTACAACAGCCACGAGGGGGGGGGGGGTATGGGGTGTGGGAGGGGGGGGGGGGCAAAGGCCTTCGTTAGTGAGCGAAGTAAAATCGATGGGGCAATGAATGCCCGCCTCTCCTTTCTCGCGTTAAAATAACGGACGCGACGGCGACGTCCCGTGATGAGATACGAACATCAAATCGAAATGCTTTACAATAATATAATACAACGGGGGCACGTGGTGGAATAAACCCTAAACAAAGCACGCGCGTTATATCACTTAAACTGATGAAATCGTACAGAAAGCAATCAGAATAAGCAATAATATATAATAATAAAAATCCCAATAAACCTAGTGAGTTAAAAACAAAACCCGCATACAAAATTGGCCTTACAGACGGGAGACAAATTTCATCGCCAGTAATGAAGAGGTGAGGGGGGGGGGTTGGTGGGGGGTGGAGTAGAGGCTGAACCCCCCCCGCGGGCGAATTTCTTCTCTCGCGAAGATTTGAAACGCCACGCGTTCGCTCGGGCTGCCAAGCGCGAGCCGAGACCTATTACTGCAATCGATGGCAATAAATACGCACGCGAGTCCGCACCCAATCAATGAGCGCGCAGCCTTCGTCCACAGCCAGCGTCTGCAGGTGGGTGTCTCTGTGTCTCACTGCCTGTCTGTGTTTGGAGGGAACAGTGGGCGCATCGGTTAGCGCAGTGTCGCCACGCATCCGTCGACCCTGGCTGACTTCGATCCGGCCCACGGCTAAAATCAGTGGCGTGGGATATGCATGTATATATAGAGACATCCTCCCCAGCCTTGATCGAGTAAGCTGGTGCGGCATATAACATCAGCACTGTCAGCGAGCCTTGGAAACTTCAAGTCGAGGTCACGGAACAGACCCAGGTGCCATGGATTGATTGACTGACCGAGATTACTAGCAGATGCGCCACCTGTGCCCCCTACTGTGCCAACATTTTGTATTGTATCCGCCCGGCGCTCCGCTCGTTGTTGTGAGCGTCGATCCTCCGCCATCCGCTGCTGTTGGAAGGCGAAAGCCTCCCAACTGCCCAATAGCATCCTTCACGAGCCTCCTCCACAGAGGCCAGCCTTGACACCGCTGGTATCAGTCTTCAGCAAGTCCACACAGCTCTACATCCGTCCGTACCGCATCAGCTCCATCTCTTCTCCAGTCAGTGCCGCAGATGTTTCACACTCATCGCTGCATGCATCTAGCCATTCGATGTAACATACACACGACACGCACAACGTGAAATGTTTTTTTGCATCTAGCTGTCCTCTCGTGCGTAAATTCAGCGTTGGGTTATGCGAATTCGCGCTATGAGGACACAATGAATGATCGCGACAGAATGAATGATGATTTGTAAAATGTTCAGGTCCATATGTGGAGTATTTGGGTGTGGCTTTGGAATGTAAGAAAGAGGGTTTTATGTTGAGGTGAAGTCAGAATCAGAATCCTTATTTAGAGTTGAGCAGAATAGTGTACACTGCATTGTGCGTTTTCAGATGCGCTTCTGCGGCCGTCTGGAACGCTCTTCCTTCCGATATGAGGAAGCCACTGGAACTATGCACTTAATCTCGATTGGAAACTAATTTGTTGAGAACTGCTTTTTGTGGTTAGTTTGTTGTCCTTCCCCCGCACCTCCGTTTAGTACGGTTGGTTAGGTATGGTGCGAAAGAAGTTCATACATACGTACACAATAAATTGCGAGCGACTCAGCATCCTTTATTACACGTGTACGTATTAACGCATGGTTGTGCGTGCTTACGTTCTCTTGTGTGTGGACATACGAGTTTCTATTGCCACTCATTTCTCCGCAATATAAGATGCACTGAGCGATCGCCCTCTGTGTGATTTTGTAAAGAACAAAAATGCGAGTGGTGCATCCTCTAGTCCGGTCGCCTCAAAGTGCACTTAGCCTGGCACAAACGCCGTGGTGACGTCACCGCCACTCCGTGGAGAACAGCTGCTGTTGTAACAAGATGATTGTGCAGTATATTTTAATTTTTTATTAACTTTGGCTAAAAGTTTGGAGAGGGTCTTTTTACATCGTATCCGTGGTTTTAGGGGGCATTCATTGACCGGCAGCTGGCTGATAGTGTCGCACTCCCATTGGGAGAAAAGATTCGCTCGACTCACCAATTGGCATTTTTGTTAAACACGAGCAATGTAGAAGACCTTTACCCCGAGGCTGTCCGAATGAGTGAAACCAAACTTTACTTCTTTTTGGAGACCCAATTCTTCAGAGGAGTCGGTTATGAGTGCAGTATAAAGACTCAATACTATTTTCGTGCCACATTCCATGCATCGTTCTAGCCCCTTCATGAATATCAGTAGAACGTATATCGATCAGCTTATAATGATCGTCTCTATACGGTGTATAAATATATAAATACAGTACATTTTATCTATGGCATTTAACAACAATGATCCGACTGCTCATCCACTGCTGGATGAAGGCCTTCCCACGGCAGTGTCAGTCACGGGGGTTGCGTGAGTTGGTGAAGAGGTCGTGGCCAAGAGGACCTTGCGGATATCATCACCCGCCACTGATGTTAGCCGCGAGCAGTAAATGGAGCTCATGTCGCCGGATTCGAAGCACGGTGCCCTAAACAGCCGCGCCGCTGCTCCACCCTAGTCTACGTAGTTTATATATATATAAATAATATACATACGCGTATAAATCAATTAATTTATCAATTTATTGCGGTGTGGGCATATTTGTTGAAAATCGATTGTTGCTCGAATTCACAAGCTATCCCGCGGCCATTCAGAAGCCCCTTAGCCCCGTTAAGAATCATCGTGTTTAATTGAAATCGATTGCCGTGGCACGCGTCTCTGAACAGACACCCCGTCACCGCCGTATCCATCCGCACGTTCAAGCGCAAAGAAGGAAGGGTCAGTATCAAAGACGAAGTTCCTCCACCCCCGTATAGCCTCAACAGGCTGTGTGGGCATGTGCTGTTAGCGGGCAGCGCCTATGAAGGCCGGCACGTCACACGAGGGGGTTGGGTGGCCAGCAACCACGCCCCGCTGCCACTATGTCCCCACCGCCCACTGCGATGTTTACACATCACACTAGTTACTCACTAAAGGCTGAGTGGACCTAGGTAAAGCCCAGGACCGGATCGAAGTATTAGCCACTGTTATCGGTCGTGAGCGGGAATCGAATTCGGGTCGCGGAGTTCGTCGTCCAGTGTGTGTATAAAACATAAACAACTGAACAACATTTATACTTAAGGTGAAACAAACAAATCTATTATTGAGTCGAATCTTCCAAGGACGTGAGTGGTTGGTGGTGGAATGAGTGAGAATTGAACCACACCGAATATAAATATCAATTTGCATTTCACAAATTGCAGATTGGCATTCATTGCTAACTGGCAGTGGTTAATTTTGCTACTCTGTGTAGTGACATAGAATGAGTCACTGGAACGCGTCGCCCTGGGGACTGGTAGAGAGTGGGATTATGGGTAGCAGCCCGGTCTTCCAGTGGGACACGTGGGGGAAGCCCGGAGCCTTCTGGGGGAATCCAGAAGGGCGCGTGGCCGAAGGCGGAGCCTGGCCACGCTGGGGAGGATAAAAGGCGAGCTCCGGCTCCCAGTCGGGGCTGCCGCAGTCTGGAGTGGAACTCGTCGTGCTGCCGTCGTCATGGTCTTCGCCTCTTAGAGCGGTCAGGAAGCATGTTGGCTGTGCTGACTCGGTGTGTAGTTATCCCTTATGGCTGTGAAGGACGGAATAAATGAGAGAGAGAGAGTGCCTCCTACTAGTGTCTCTGAATTGGCACACTACATCGGTAAAGTCAAAACGTTTACAAATGACTGCATTGGTCATTAGAGGGTTTCTACTCATTTTTTATATACAGCATGACAAATAAACAGATTAATTATGCTGCATTTGATAGCATGGCGTAGAAGGATATGCACGCAAGCCACATTTATTTTGCACTGAGAGCCCTGATTGCGCATTTGGGATGTAATGACGCGTAGATTCATCGATGATTCTCATTGTCATAGACGTTTAAGCTCACGATACCTTCATCGAATATCGCGTGAAAGAATATATTGTTTTTTCATAATTGAATACTTTGTAGGTAATGGGTTCACACGACACTTACAGCCGCTAGAGGCCGCTATATGCAGCACAATTACGTCTGCGATTTGTATTAAACTTTGGGCATAATGACAATAATATCGTAGTAATAGTCTCAGGCCCCTATAACGTGTTGGTCATGTTCACGGTGGCGAGATGTTAACGACCTCGCCTGGTATGCAGGAGGTCGGGGAGTTCGATCCCAACCCTGACGCCTGAATACTTGGATTTTGCATTTTCTCCCCGTGGTCGCATGGATTGTATCCGAGTCCTCCGGGTTTTCCCTCCACATTTAGAAACACGCATTTGACGCATTTAGATTATTTTGCTGCAATAAATTTCCACATGATGAGCCACTTCGTGTGCGCTATTACTTTTAGCTTTGTCGCTTCTGAAAAATAAGTGAATCGCCCAGTGGGCTTTGCCTGGGGAGATTAAAAAAAATATATAGTGACGTTTTACTTGTATATTATTTAAAGTGATTTGTTTACCTTTAGGGGCTGTCCATAAATGACGTCACGCACCTGGGGGGGGGGGGGTCAGACATTTGTGACGATGTGTGACGAGGGGGGGGGGGGGGTGAGAAATGTGACGTCACATAAAAATCCGCAACTTTAAATACATATAGACAACACGTTCTACATAATTAAATAAACTTTTTAATAAATGTTTTCTCCTACAACATCAGAGTGCAGCGCCACATTATATACGCACTTCAATGACAATATTTTAAAGAGATTTGAAGCATGTTTTTTTTTTCGGGGGGGGGCAGAGCTTTGTGACGTCATATTTGAGGGGGGTCTGACTTTTTGTGACGCTGTGTGACGAGGGGGGGGGGGGAGTCAAAAATCGTTCAAAATCGCGTGACGTCATTTATGGACGGTCCCTTACTATACTTTGCACTCCTGTCGTGTTTTTGTATTGTTTGTTGGAACGTTCTGACCCCGTGTCGCTGCTGGACATCTGTGAAAAAAGAGCTTTAGAGCTCATCGGATTCCTCCAATATCTCCACACATATAAAAGGCAACGTTGTGATTATGTGTCTGTTAAAAATGTTTAGCGTACTTCCCGACATGCAACAAACTTAAAATTTGCCATGTGGGTACTTTCCAACTGTACACCATGCAAAATTTATAAAAATACACTTTTGTGTTTTTTTTTTTGGGGGGGGGGGCGGCTCAATAATGCGGATATTTTTGCACGGCAAGTGAGCTGTGAGGTCAAATCTGTCACGTGACCAGCGCACGTGGAAGCGTAACGCGTTGTCGTGTAGTGGTTAGCGCGCCGCGCTACGAACCCGGCCACCCGAGTTCGATTCCCGCTCACGGCCACCACCGGTGACGATTATTCGAACCGGTCCTGGGCCACTCCTAGGTCGAATCAGCATCAAACTGCTGTGGTGTGCGAACATCGCCACTGGGAAGACAAAGGCTGCCGGGCGTGGTGAAGTCCCGGGCGAAGCCGGGTAGTAAAGCTGGTAAATATATATGCTGATGCTGCACAGCGGGCAGCTGCCGGGAGCGCAGAGAGAGAGAGAGAGGGGATTGCGAGCGACGGGCGTGATTGTATTTGTTGGGTGTCACAGTCTCGAGGCGGCGCGCGTTGTGTGGGAAATTAGCTGTGGCGATATCGCCGTGTAAGCCTTCGCCAGTGACAAGTCTCCCGGGGGGACCCTGCGTTTTCTGGATTCTTCCTCCGACAGCCACTCTTCGACTCCCACCCCCCAACGGACCCACCCCCAAAAGACAAACGTCTCTCGTATAACCTTAACAGACTGCTGAGGCAAGTGCTGTTAGCGAGCACCTATGAAGGCCGACACGGCACACGAGGGGGTGGGCGGTCTGCACCACGTCCGGCCGCCTTTGTCTCCCTCGTGGTGATGTTTACGCACTGCACCAGGTACTCGTTTGCGCCCGAGTCGACCTAGGGGAGGCTCAGATAATCATCACTCTTGTTGGCCGTGAGCGGGAATTGAACTCGGGTCCCCGGGTTCGTAGCACAGCGCGCTAACCGCTACACAACCCGTGCCAATACTACCACCACCACCACCACCGCCCCTCTATTTCCTCCGCTCACCACCATCATCCGAGGTGACACGTGTAGCGTGGTGACGCGTCGAGCGGAGCAATTAGGAGGTTATGGAGGATGATTAGAAGCAAATCGGCGGTGCCTTTCATGCGAGCGCACGCTTTGCCGTCGTGCATTCATTCCAGCAACTGCGCGTGCCCCCACAGAATGGGGGGGGGGGGGGGGTGACGTTCTGTGTAACGGCGAGGACGTAGACACACGCGGGGAGCGGTGGCGCAGTGGTTAGCGCGATGAAGCTGGGAGGTTCGTTCGAGTCGCCACCGCGGCTGTAATGTCGGTGGTGCGTGGTATCTGCAGTGTGGTCAAATAACCCCCCTAATCCGAATGACCGTTTTTAGATGTTCATATTTATTGGAGCAGCAGCTGTTGATGAGACCGGTCCAGATTAATTTTTTCGGCGTGTCATTCTATTTGGTTTGATTTTTTATTGTTGTTTATTTTAGTTCAAAGTTAATTTGCCGTTATTTGTTCGTCGGCCTTGTTTACGTAATTCACGTTAACTTTCAAATGTGATGCAATGTTTGCGCAAATGTCTATTTCTTGTATTTGTTGATTCTTTTGTTATGCAAGGCCTCCTTGCAAAACAAACTTTCGGACTGAAGTACGCGTTTTCATTTGGTGGAATAATGTGAAGCGAAATCTGCTTGTTTAACAAGTTCGACGAATGATATTGGTCGAGATAAGCCTCGAGGCCCATGGGATATAGAGATATTTTACGTTTTAAATTACGAGAGAAGAGGAGTTTGCGTAAGCTACATTCCTCATAACACTGCGCAACAATAAATAATTCGTTACAAACAAACACCGCATTGCCCTTTGCATTGACTCGGGTCCCCCGTCTTGTAAGCAAAGTGCTCTTGCCAATAACATCTGGGGAAGGAGGCCCGCGTTTGCTTGTTTAAACAGACACAGGGCTACGGGGGAGATGGCAATGGCCTGGCGAGGTATTCCTCCAGCAGAGGATTGATCATGGCAGATGATGATGGAAATTGGATTGGAACGCATAAAATAAAGGACGTAAAAATGTGTTTTCATTGTGCGGAGGTCAAAAAACAAACGTTAATTTGTCTCTTTACTTAACACGCACCCACAATTTTTAAAACCTGGGAGTGGCGCTGATTGTAATGCAACCGAGTGCCCTTTTATTCAAGAAAGATTTGATCACACGTGGCCATCGGTTTAAGCAAATTGGACCCGGTATTGATTATTATTCATGATATCAGATTGACTGTTTCAGGGCGTGTGGCTGGGTGGTTGCCTCTGTATTGCACGCCCCGTAATGTCGCCTGAATTATCTGATGTGTACACGCGTCTGCCGACTATTTTAAATTGCCCGGAATTCTGCCGATCTCTTTAGGTCTCGGAAGTTGAGGCTTGAGCCTCTGGATAGTCCTTGGATGGGCGACCACCATACGTACATAACAGGTATTATAGTTTGCTACGGGACTACGCTATGGGCAGCAATATGGCAGTGCAGCAAAACAATACATTGTTGTGCTGTGCTTCCATGCTCACACGCTTTCACCAACCTGCACTGACCAGCGTCGAGAAGTCTAATCAAATAACTCCCATGACCCGCACGGCCCTCATCCAGCAGTGTATGGACAAAAAGGGCCGCCGTACCTGTACGTGCGCTAACGCACGTGGACTCACAAATCTCGATACGGCGCGTGTCGCCAATGCCATGGGGGTTTAGAGGGATGCGCCTTTCAATAAAAAATATGCTCGAACGACCAAGTCTTGTGTGGACACAATATAATCAGTGTGGGGAGCAATAGTGTTGTCGTTAGCGCACTGCGCTATGAACCCGGCGACCCGAGTTCGATTCCTGCAATCGACCAATAACAGTGGCGAATATTTAAACCGGTCCTCGGCCTTCCCTAGAGCGACTCAGCCTTAAAAAATGACTACCTAGAGCGGTGAGTAAACATCAGCACTGGGTAGACAAAGGCGGCCTGGCGCGGTGCTGGCCACCCACCCCCTCGTGTGCCGTGCCGGCCTTCATAGATGCTCGTTAACAGCACTTGCCCCAACAGTCTGTTTAGGCTACACGGTGGGTCTTTGTATTTTTGCAAATATATATAGTTGTATTGAACTAGCTTATACTGGTGTCTATAATGCTAGTTTTTTACTCATCGATGATACCGTTATGTGGATATCCTGCAGGACATTTGTATCTTCGAGCGCGTCATCTCACTTGCCAAGTGACGGCACGTTTCATATCCCTGGCACGTGTGAGCTCTGAAACTGGCCAGGTGGCTCACCAGTCGAGTGAGCAGCTCACAACCTGAGAGGTGGTGTGAGTTCAAATTCCGATTGGGGATTTACTCAACCAATCATCCCTCTAGGATCAATAAAATAGAACATACGCACCATTTTATGGGGGAAAGTTAATGGTGTTTGTCGCCCGTGGGTATACTCGCGTCCGTCATAGGAATGTGGATTTTCCAGCACTGGCTCAGGCCTGCAAAGCAAGAGATGTGCTAATTTGAGCAGGAAATCGCTACGACCTGACTTGGGACGTTTGGAAAAAAACAAAACCCTGTGATATTTTAAATGTAGCTCGAATGTTAAGAGGATCGTGGGAAAAGAGAGAAAATACATAGACGGTTTTTTTTAAATCACAAAGGCTATATCGTTGTTGTGTGTATTGGGATTCCGGAGAAAATAATAGCCATACTTTTTTTTACTACCACAGTCTATCAGGAGCAATACAGGAAATGATTAAAAACTCAATGCCTGGCTCAGTGCAATGCAATCACATTTCTGGACAGACACCCGCCTCCTGCCATCTTTTCTGCATCATTTCACAAGCAGAAACACGATCAGCAGCACCACACCGCTTTATATAAACGTGCACCCGTTTGTGGCATGGGATGTCTGAGACCACAGTGTATTTCATATAGAGTACTGTAGTGCGTCTTTCTTCCAAGACGTACTGGCCGGGCATGGAAGAGTAGGCCAAAGATGTACTCTCTTAGAGCTTCCTCTGGTGGTGGCCCTTCCGCCAGCAGTGGCGTGAGCAGGACATTTGCAGGGCTGCGCCTTGTTTTACTGCAGCGATTAAGTGTCTGTTGTGCAAGACGGCGAGAGATGGTGACAGCTTGGGATGACATTCATCCAGCAGTGTGTAGAACATGGATGACGATGATGACCATATCGTGTAGAAAGGAGTTCACGTAGTTTCGAGTATAAATATTCTGATATCTGATTCTGTAATTCTCAATTGACGGATGGACAAAAGATTGGAGGGGATGGCGCTGTGCTGGAGCGTTGTGACCCCGTATAGTCTGAAGGAGCGCGAGCTAAAATCCCGGTTAGCGATAAACGAAGCTCGTTCTTTTACTAGGGGGCAATAAAACAACTAATGCCCCTTTGTGAGATGCCAGCTGTAGTTATCCTATGTAACTACTGGGCTCCGTCAATAGACATGAGC